ACCATCATCATCATCATCAGCATCACGATCATCATCATCCTCATCATAATCATCATCATCATCAGCAGCAGCATTCTGACGGTCACTGTCTTAGCATCATCATAATCATCCTCATGGCCATCGACTTATACACCATCATTGTCACCGTCATCGTATGACTATCGCCATGAGCAACATCGACATCGACGTGGCCACATCTTCATCACCTTTGTCTGAGTGCCAAAAACCCAGGGCACCCCCGCCCCACTTGGCACCGGTTACATCGCTGCACTCTTCGAGACACATTCTCAACCCCTGCACCAACTCCCTGACTCTTTGATCCTTAAACACAGACTGTTCACTTGGACTGGGGGTTTTGTATATTACGGCATGATGGTGTCATGCAGCCTGCAGGAACAATGCGGCTAACTGCTCATACGCCTAAATTCAGACCTGTCAGACGAGTTGCCAAGGTCCAAAAGGTCAAGGTCAGCAATGAAATCGTGTGCAGTGTGGCGTTGAAGGGCAACTCAAAGAGGTTCAGGGGGATGATGGTGATGTCCAGGATCACGCCTGGGGTTTAGGTTTTTGGGGTCAGGGCTTGAGGGGTTGAGGGTTTCGGATTCAGGGCTTAGGGTTGAGGGACGAAGGATTGTGTGCAGGATTGCCTCACCCATGGGGGGGGATTCCTATATAACATGATCTACTTGACCGTGCTTGCTTTCAGGGGTCTCTACCGCGTGCTTCTGAAGCGGCTCATTCACAACGCTTCAAACTTTTGTCAGTCGGTCGAAGCTTCGTAAGGACTATGGAGCAAGCCTGAAGGCTCAGGAATTCCAGCCGGATATCCAAGCCGAACCGCCAGAAGCTCAAAGTTCTTCAAAAAAGAAATCCGGGGCTTTTGCGTTTTGAGCTTTTGGGACGTGCGAAGGCTTTGTTCATTACCAGCCAGGATTTCCAAGCACCAATACTGTCTACTGTCGTCTCAGAGCTATCTCTACTGACGGCCATGATGACAACTTCCAGCCTCTGGTAACTTGAACTCCAAGTGCTGTGACTGTCGTACCGTAATTGCAAGTTTCACTGTCGTGGTTGTTATTGCTGCTGTTGATGTTGTTGTCGTTGTTGTAGTCTCTTTCGTTGTTGCTGCTGTTGTTGCTGTTGTTGTTGTCGTTGGTATTGCTGTTGCTTTTGCTGTTGTTGCTGCTGATGCTGCTCTTGCTGTTGCTGTTGCTGTTGATGCTCCTGCTGTTGCGGTTGCGGTTGCGGCTGTTGCTGCTGCGCGTTGTTGTGGTTGTTGTTGTTGCTGCTGTGGCCAGCAGGTATTTTGCAGCCTTTGGGCATGTTTCTCGGTTAGGTGTTGAGGGGTTAGTATTAGGACGTCTAGGCTGCGGGATTCGTCAAAAACACAAGGCTGGCACGGCCGGAGATGAACTCGGTTTAGGGCTGAAGGCTTACGCTTTGGGGCGGTTTAGGGCCTAGGGTTTAAGGATGTTTATAGGGTGAGCCCCGAACACACACATCAGGATGCTGCTGCGGGGCAGATCATTCGAAAGGCATCGAAAACGGCACGAGCTTTGCTGCCAGGCGTGAGGACAAACCTGATATCAGGCCGACATTAAGAAGCACGGGTTTAGGGTTCTGGGTTTTGGGCCCCTGTCTGTATAAGGTTTAATGGGCCTGTTGGGTTCAGGGCTGGTGGGGCTTGCTGCTGTTGCGTTCAGGGCTCTTCGGGTTTAGGTGTAGGGTTTTGTGAGTTTTGTGAGCTAAGTTGCAGGGTTTTCAGCTGTGTTTGAGGCTGATTTCGACAAGTACACTGCTCCTTCAAGCGCCTGGACGCACAAGAAACCCTAGTGCCTAAAATATCAGCTAATTCAAAGTTGCCTCCGAACATGAAGTGCCGCAGCCTACCACTGAACTGTTTTTGCCCGTTAGCTAGGGTACACGACACAAAATTAGGAAATCAAGACCAACGCGCTGCCGAGACCATCAACTACGTCACGACAGACAGCCTGATTCCTATCTGCCTCAAGAAAGTTGAGCCCAAACACGTTCTTGGACAGCTGCAGGCAGGAACCACATCAACAAGTCTAGGGCAGATGTAAGGTTTGGGTAGGGGTTTAGATTGGGGTTCCGGCGCTACCTTTGCACAAATTCCCGGCCTGCGCGCCATGCCATCGTGGCAGTGTCGGCCCCCACGATTCTCAGACACCTGGCATTTGAGAGGCACCTTATAGCGCTCGGATGTACAAGTTCAGGGATGCTCTCAGATGGGTGCTGGCTTGACCCTGGGTCAGGTTTCGGGGCTGAACCCGAAGAAACAAACACCAAATACCAAAAGCCTCAACCTCTAAACCCTAGGCCCTAAACCGCTAAACCTCCAAACCCTAACCCTAAACCCTCAACCCCTAAACCGCTAAGCGTTCAGATTCAAGGTTTCGGGTAGCGGCCCCAGAACAGAACCGATCTCAAAGTAAGCCCTAAACTCTCCTGGAAAGCCCTTGCAGCCTACAAGCGCTACCCAGGAAGATTTAGGGTTTGGAGTTTCGGGTTTGGAGTTTGGGGATTGTTTAACCTATATGTATATATATATATATATATATATGTATACATGTATATGTATAAAGATATTTTTTTGTTGGGGGGGACGGGTTAGGATCCTGTAAGGTAACCCCCAAAAAGGGATTACCATGGAGACCATACGTAAGACTTTAAATGCCTCCATAAACTCTGCCTAGGGACCTAGCATCCCAGATCCGTAGCACGGGAGAGATCTGACTAATGGGGTCTTGAACAATCTGAACAAGGTTCAGTGTTTAGGGCTCAGGGTCTTGGGGCAGATGCTTTCGTAGAGCTTGTGCATAGCGACCAGAATGCAAGTTGCCGGTTCTAGACCCACCCGCAATCCAGATGATCTCGCACTTACTCATACGGTCGCAGCGAACTCCTCCATGGTCTCGCCATACCTTTTGCGTGTGCCGACACTGCGCAAGTAGATGTTAACACGCTCGACACTCCAGCCTCAGAGCCACTGGAACCAGCAGCCGCAACCTCATCGGATGGCACCTCACCGGAAACATCCTGAGGGGCGTCCCCGGAGCCATGCAGGCGACCACACGGGCGGGCCGCAGAGTTGTAGCGCAGACAACTCGGCCGCTCGCTAGACATGAATCTGCGCTAGAAGTTTACAAGAGCGCCTCAGACCTCAAATCGGTACGGCCTCCGGCCCCCTTGCTTCGCAAAACTGTAATGGAGCCTCTGTAGAAATCCTAAACCGAAACCCCTAGGCCCTACCTCCCGCTAACCCCTAACCCCTAAACAACACCCTAAACTCTCAACCACGAGCCGTAACCTCCAAACCCCAAGACAGTTAAGCCCTGAAAGAGCCCCCAAAAAAAACACTCCACCCTCCCTGGAGGCCAGCAATGAACTGAAACCGAGACCACGAGACTTGATGGCATCCTTTCGGTACAGTACCCTAAATCCTTAGCACAGAGGCATTTCTAATTGGTACAGGGTTTTGCTGGTAGGCTATACTGTAACTGCCGAGGGACTACAAAAGGAATACTGTTCCTAACTCTTAGACTCCTATATTAGCCTAGAGACCCTCAACCCTCTAAACATTCAAATGCAGGTATCTGGTCCTTTCGGTTTAAGCCTTCGGGGGAAGGAACCGATTGCCGCAGGCATGGAACCCTAATCCGAAATGCAAGCACCTACATATTGGGTCCTTTGGACCCTTAGGTCTGCGCCCTCAACCCTAACCCCTACACCACAAGCCCGAAACCCTACACCCTTTAGTCCCTGAGCCCAGAACCCTAAACCCTAAAGACCCTAAACCCTAAGCCCGAAACCCTAAACCCTACAGACCCCAAGCCCCAAACCCTGAAGATTTCAGTTTTAACTTGGCCTCATCCAAGCGGTTCTGCGTTAGGCTTGTACCTCCCAGGGGTTTAGCTTGGGTACGGGGCACTACCCAGGGTTTAGGGTTTTTAGGGGGTGCGGCAATGGAACGAGGCCTCCGGTATGGTTTTCGGTATAGGCTTTGGGATGGAAGAGCTATTATTATAATAAAGGCTACCATTTGTTTAGAGATCAGGATTTAGGGTTGCGTGTCGAATGATTATGGGGGCCTGAATCATCCAGTTTTCGGGTATATTGCTGTACTAAACATATGAACACTTGTAAGTAAAGCTTTTCGTTCCAATGGATTCCGCCCATCTCAATTCCCAGCAGGCCGGGGCCCGACCGTCCACATGAAGTGGGAGGGGGAACAAATGTCCAAATGGTGCTAGCGCCTAGCGCTACATGGTGCTTGCGATGGGACTTCTGCGCCGCGACTGCGACAGCAATGTTTCCACAGCTGTCTTGTGGCACAGTGCACAGTTCCGACTAAAGCGCAGTCTGTTCCCACACCGACTTCATGGCAACAACCCCGATTACAGCACGAACTTGCGATGCATCGCGCTCCGGCCACATCGCCGTAAGTATCTTGATGTGTTTTTGCTAGGGAATCGTACACTCCCGCCACAATGAATGGAGCTCCTGCAACAGCGTCGTGCTCGTTTTGGGGGTCCCTTCCGTTCCCAGTTTCAGTGTTCCGGCCACAGTCCCATGCACCACGGTGTGGTGCGCTCCTGCAATGGTTCGTGGGGCGTCAGGCTTGAACTCGCTGGTTGGGGTAGGTACAGCAACCATACAATAGTACTAGGCTCTAGGCCCTACACCGCAGTGCTGAGAAGGCCTCCGCCGCGAGCTTGCATGGAAAGCCTCTTCGGGCGGTCGCTGGAGACGACGAAACACTGGCGAATCCTGAGCTGTTTTTGGGTCCAGAGCAACTTGGAAACTCAAAACCCTGAATCCAAAACCCTGACCCGCCCCAAACAAAAATCGAAACCCCTAAACCCTGAGTCCTAAACCCCGAGAGAAGACCCCTGCAGATGCAGTTAGGGGCTGACTGTGCAGGGTTCCTGGACAAAAACCCTGTAACATGCTATATTGGGGGGCAATATCTCAAAGCTATATATAACCAAAGGACACCTATATTGTATCTATATGATCACCATAATGCAACTATATTATAGCTATACTATAACAGTGACCTATAGTCTAGACTATCTTATAAGAGCGGACTACACCCGGAAGATCAGGAGCTGCTTTGATTTTGGAGGGTTTCGGTTCAGGGTATTTCGCTGACCAGGGGTGCCCGGGCGCTTGCAGTCCAGATTTTAGGATTCGGGATGTAGGACGTTAGCACCAACATGCCCAATCCTTCGGCCTAGAAACCCATGACCTTCAATGCAAAACACCAGAATATCTTTACCTAAAGGTAGAAACCTGAATCCCCAGCCCCTGAATCCCAAATCCCGAAATCAAAGACTATGAAACTGTCAAGAACCTGAAAAGGACCTGTGACAGCAACCACCATAAACCCCAAGCCCTCTAAACCCTCAACTCTAAGCCCTAAACCTTAAACCTCTAAGCCCGAAATCTCAAGCCTATGCTTCGGCAATCGATGCTTGCAGACGGCTGGAAGTCGCACTCATCCTCCGAACCAAACCTTCGCTGGGGTTTAGGGTTGGGGGTTTAGGGTTGGGAGTTAGGATTCAGGGTTTACGATTGGGGGTTCAATGTTTAGCGTTTAGGATTCTCGATAATTTCCGTTTCGGTTCTTTCAAAGGGTTTCTCAATGGGTTCTACACAGGCTCTGGACGGGTTCTAGAGCGATTTAGGGTTTATAAGGTTCAGGTCATAAAAGTGGGATTCGGGGTTTTAGGATGTGACATCGAGTTTTCGTGTCAGCACGGCTTGTCCATTGACTGTATCAAGAGCTTACGCACTCGTAATCCAGAGCTGGGGTTTAGGGTTAAGGGGGTCTTGGGTTGCTCCGGCACCGAGCCAGCTTGGAAGCTTCAGGTTCGGGGACCAGCTTGTCATCTGAAAGATCCGACGAATTCCGACAATCGTACGCACCCGCTGAGTGGCTGCTCGGGTCCACACCCGAATCCTGCCCATAACCACACTGCAAAACACTTCGGAGCTCTTCAAAGTTCTCTGACCTCTGGGTAGTATACCCTCTCTTCAAGGGTTTCGCAGGGATCCCAATGTAAAGGCCCTTTAGGACAGGAGCATTCATCACTAGTCACAAAGAGCTGCTTTCTGTTCGGCTCATGCGGCTCTTGTTTCTCCTGTGTGGGTTAGGGTCCCCGATGTGGCAGTTATTCTTTTGGCCTATACTTTGCAAACAGACGAACCCTGATGCAGCGACGGCTCTCCGTCTTAGGAGAAACTTAGGAGGCAGAAGGAGACCTTGAAGCCCGATGATATCATGTAGCAGTCTCCTTATGACGGCAAGGCGTAGTAGGTACCTGCGATGCAAGAGACCCCTATACCCTGTACGCTGACGGCAGCTCCCAGACCTCTTTAAGAAAGAGTAGGGCGGGATGTAAGGATTGCCACCTTTGTCGTTTCTCCTCGAAGCCATACGTCCAGACTTCTATCCTCTGGGGTTCAAGGGAAGAGGATTTTGGGGCTTGCATGCGGGACTTCACGGCTAAGGGCTTATAGGGTGATATGTGATTAGTATGAATACCCAAGACCCTAAACCCCCAAACCCCGAACCCCGGACAAAACCCTGAACTTGAAGAGTCTAAACCCTTTAACCGCTACACTCTTAACCCCTTATAAACCCTTAACCCTAGAACTCCAAATGTCGAAACCCTACATGAAGCCCGAGTGACTTGTCGCTCTCAGACATGACCCCAGAGCTTTGACTTCTCTCCGATACCGCAGCGACGGACAAGCCAATCCTCAGCTGATGCCCGTTTAGGGTATAGGGTTTGGGAGTCCATAAGGGTTTAGGGTTTAGGGTTGAGTGTCCATGTGCCCAATTAGTACATTCCTTGGCCTTGTAAAGTAGTCCCCATTAAATACGTTAGGGCCAAATCGTACACTACTTGGGCACATGGTCTCTTAGGGGGTTGGAGCTTTTGACACGAGATGCCCTCATCCGTACTGGTGCCCCCCCCGAAAACACCCAGCATATGCTCGTACCAAGTACTCTAAGGAGCCCTATATACATGCAGTACACCCAATAAAGCATAATCAACCAACCTCACATGGCTTTAGCATCCAAATCGCAAGCCCTCAACAAGAAATGCAAACGACACCATAGCCTGATACCTGAAGCTCAAGAGACAGAAAGCCGAAAATCCTGTCAACCCAGAAGAACTTATGAGAGTTGAGCCATGAACGTGCTCATTCGCAATTAAGTTATGAAAAAGCAAACAGATGAGACTTAATTTCATCTCGTACTTTTCGAAAATAGCAAACACTGTACCCCAAAATGGCATAGGCGGTGATCGACATTCCAACCATAAACCCCAAAAGCAGCTTAGAAAAAGGGCCCAGCACCTACAAGGCCACTATTCTACGTACTTGTGGGGCTCAGGTAGTTTACGAAAGCCTTCTGGTTGTGAAAATTCCAACATCGGCAGATTGAGCGCTAATGTAGGGGCCTTAATGATTAGAATAGGGCTTTGGGGCTCCGTTCTAGTAGAGTTATAATAAGGAACACCAAGGTAATTATTCAATTGGGCTGTTATATTACAGGCTTCAGGTTCTCAGAGCTTATCGGGCCTTACTTGGGGTCCTTAAGGCTTTCGGAGAAACGGATTTGAATATTCCATCGAAGGCTTTGGGAGGTGCTGGGCACGGAACTTAGGGGTCGTAATTTCACAGTTAGCCCTAAAGCTCCAAAAAGCCAATATAGAGGCTTTAATAGCTAGCATAGGGTTTTGGCGTATGTTGTACAACTAAGGAACCCCTAAAATAGGACTGATAAAAGCCTCTATGTTATGTGAAGAGCTCTGATAATGTCCCGGGCGGCTTTTTGGACACCACTCGCTCCATCTTTGCGAAGTTCTGCTGCGCGACCTTCCTGCGGAGCTGCATAGGAAACGTCCCTTAGCGCTTTGGGTTTAGGGCTCAGGGATATGAAGGTTGGAATGGGGTTCAGGGAGGCCTGAGCGGCGTTGCATGGTAAGGCCTTACGGGACGGCTTCAGGGATTCATAGTTGCTTCACATTTGAGACTTTGAGACTGCTTTTTAGACTTCACAGGCTAGGATCTGGGAGCAGTCATAAGAATACTAGGTTTAGAGTTAGGGGATGTTAGGGGTCGAGGATTGAGGGTGCTGTCTGCCTCGTCGTGCCCTTCGCTTGAACCCTGCACGACCCACAGCCTAGAACCCCAAAGTCACGAACTCGAAATCTCAGGACACCCTGAACCTCAGCGATGCCTGTGTTCAGGTCAGACGCTACCCCTGGACACTCCAATGTATCCTCAAATCCGGGCATGTGGTCCCTAATAATTCATGGGAAATATTGGGCCGTAATAAGCAGAAAATTAGAATAACTCGAACCGAAGGGTGCACCATGACCGCCGCCCAAGCACCCTGCAATGAAGCCCCTACGGTCCTTAATGGTCTAGGTAGGATTAAGGGGTTTAGGGTAGCTCTAAGGCCTACAGCTCAAGATGTAAACCTTGACGCCGCAAGTCTGGGAACCCTGATTGGAGTGTCCCCCAGGCCTGTCATCATCAAACTTGGTCTGGAAGACGGCTAGCTCTTCCTCATACCAGGGCTTTGATACTTAATGATTACTTACCGCAGAGTTTGGGGCACATATTTTGTCCGGGAATTGAGGACTCATATATATATATATATATATGTATACTCTCTCTCTATATATATATATATGCACTATATATAATATGCTATATATATATACAAACATACATACAGTAAACTTAATTTAGTCGCACACTGAACTCGTTCGCTTCGGCGATGCCGTGGAAACTCTCTTCGACAACGTGTCGCATCTCCACTACCGCATGCTGTAAGGTTTAGGGTCTATAGGATTTAGGATTTAAGGAGCTACTGCATGACCAAGGGCTCGCCACTGTCCAAGAACTGATTTGGGCTTCTATGTCAACGAAGCCTTCCGCTATGAAACTTCTTGCTGAAGCTTCGACCGCGTCGGAGAAATTCGATGATTTCTAAGGGGTTAGGGTTTAGGCTTTAGGGGTTTAAGGGTTTAGGGTTGTCGCTTTAGGCTTTAGGGGTTTAGGGTTTGGGGTTTCCTGCATGTTTGGGGCTTCTCGTGTTCTCGTTCAACAAGCGTTCGCTCTCGCCTCTTGGGGCTTCGAGGCTTAGACGGTGGATCACCTGGGAGGGCCTGGGGCTTGGGCTTCAGGGCTGTAATGTCTCAGGCTACTGTAGGTACATCATACTATATTTATCATGAGGAATCCCGCAAAATAATATAGGGAATCATTAAGGCCACTTTCTTATGGGCTGTTGGGTGTAGAGCATCTTCAGGGTTCCACTAAGCCGTAACAAAGCCACAGCACGCCAACCCTGCTCAAGATTGAACAGCTTGGAACCCCAAGCACAGCAGCCACCGTCCCAAGCAACTGCTTACAAGTGCCCTTGCCAGTCATAAACAACCATAAAGCTCTAGAGCCCAACACTCTATATGCCGACACTACCTGAAACCCGAAACCTTGAAACCCCAACATACCAAAAGACCCCTTCTACACCCCAAACCTTGCCCTCAAACCCCAAATCCTCTCACCCGGAAAACTGAACCAAATAAAGGACAAGCTTAAAACCCCAAACCGTACCACCCTGAAGCCGAAAACCCCAACCCCTAACCATATTCCAACCCATGATATACCCTAATAGGGCCTTGACACAAGCATTGCAGAGTTCTTACGAACTAAAGCCTATAAAGCCTTATAGCACCCCATTCATCCCGTGGTCCTGAAGTGACTGGCGGCGGTGGCGGCCGATTTTGGTGCCTGAATCTTCCGACTGTTAGGGTTTCATAGAGCGCTGAGAACGGTTGGTATAAGGGTCCTGTAGGACTTGATTATGGCGAGTTTTATCAGGGCTTCATAAGGGTTTTGTGGGGCTGTTGCCAATCAGCTTTCTCTGTCTTGAAATGGGATCATGAGTTAGGGCTCTTCCACGAATCTCTATTTCTTGCTCCTTGGGCTATTCTAGAATTGACAGTGGCAGTCTGAATGCGACTGCAAAGCCTGCAGCGAAGCTTCCCGAACCATTGTCTGCTTTCTTAAGAAATTCAAACTACGTTCCTGCAATAACCGGAACATTCTGTAACTCATGTGACTCACAAGCTACAATAAACTGCTAGTAACACTTCGTTTAAGTTTCTTTTGAAAACATGGTCGATGCACTGGGTCTGGAAATATCAGTATGTACGAAGCCCGAACCAACTCCAGCCTAAGACGGTCTGCTAAACTCTACGGTTCAGGGGTTAGGGTTCTGTCATGACGCATGGTACGGCAGCCTCAAGATTAACGAGTATCAGTCTTTCTCTGTCCCAAACCCCGTTCCAATTCGTGTAAGGCTTGAAAATCCCCACCAACGCACACGTGCGTTTCCCCATAGGTTGGCCCTTAGAATCAACATCGGGCGTGGGTGCAACAGAAGAACAGTCAGCACGAGTCGCACAGACTCACTGTCTTCAGTCTTCGGTGTTCCCTTCTGCACCCGAAAGCGACCAGACATCCAGACCCTAAATCTAAACTCTGAACCGGACCCCTGCATTTACCAGAAAGGATAATTACCGGTCCGTAGTGTGTCGCACAGTCTGAAACCATGTACCGGGCTTGGTAAGCACTATTGAAGGTATATGGTACTGGGCTCTGGTAAGTCTTCTTCCAATCAGTTCTTGTGCGAAGCGACAGCCCAGGGTTGAGTACCTGAAAAGCCCTGACCACTTATTTCGAAACCCTGAACTTGAATCCTGAATTGTGCCCTCGCACCCTAAACCAGGCAGACGTATTTTATGGGTAGTTCTCTAAATTAGGCTCCCTTTTCTAAACATGCCGTACTATACTGGAGACCCAAAAAAGGGGTCCCCTACCCATTTTTATTATATACCCTGAGCCCTAAACCCCTAAACCCGGTATTACACCCTGCGTTGCCTGTCTCGATCCGCTCCGGTCGGATGACGTCTTCCTGGTCGGCAATCCTGGGAAAAACGCCTAGGGCTCTGGGTAAAAGGGTTGTCGGTTTAGGGGTTTAAGCCTTCGCGGCAATTTGGGGTTGAGGGTTTCAGGGTTTAAGTTGAGGGTAAACCGTAAACCCTGGCACTAAAACCTGAAACGCTAAAGTTGCGGGCTTTATGGCCCGGCTTTTGAGGTTCGGGAACCCGTCATCTAGTCAACATGCGCAGCCCGCCGCTCGCCACTGAATAACTGCACACTCTACTCGAAAGACCCCCCGCCCGCCTTGAAACTCCAATATGGCAGATCCCTTTCAAAATTGCCGAAGCACTTTGTGAGACCCTGCATTTTAAATTAGCCCGAAAACTTGACCAAGAACACCCTACATCACAAAGCCTTGGCCCACCCTCATGCCAAAACCCTTAAAACCCAAACAGCAAATCCACGAACCCGAAACGCCAGAGCCCTACACCCCTAAACCCTAAAGCCCTTAACCGCTAAACCCCTAGACCCCTAAACCCTAAACCTACCAACTCCCGTAGATCCCTTTTAAGGATCCCTTTACAGGAACCTCCGGTTGAAGCATAGGCTCCTCTGCAGCTCGACCGTTGCAGGCTTCGGTACTGAGCAAAGAAGCTGAAGGCTTGGGGGCTTCGTTTTTAGGGTTTAGGGGTTTAGGGCTTTGGGTTTGGGGTTAAGGGTCTAGGGTTTCGGGTTCTGGGGTTTAGAGCTTTGGGTTCGGGCTTGAGGGTTTAGGGTTTAGGGCTTAGGGTTTTGGGGTTTAGGGTTTTGGGTTAGAAGGTGTAGGGTTTTGGGTTAGGCGTTGAGGCTTTTGTGTTTTGGGCTTGGGGTTTGGGGTTGAGGGCTCAGGGTGTAGAGCGAATTTGGGTACACAGGGCATCGGGCTTTCAAGCTTCCGGGCTTCAAGCGCCTAGGATTCTTCTAGTTCACGGTCCAAAGCTTCGGGCTGTTATAGTTTCAGGCGGTAGACTTTCCGAGACTTCTATGCTTGATGCGGTTGGGGTACGTACGGAGTGCTGAGAACGCGCTCATACCCTCTACAACCGTATAAAAATCCGTGAAACTCTTTGAATTCCTCTAAACAACCATATAAGGCTCCAAATCAGCCCTTACGTTTAGATGTTAGGGTCTCGGGTTTCAGGTTTAAGGTAGTGTGTTTAGTCGTCAGCTACCGAGCCCGGAACACGCCCGAAAGCCAGAAGTTTAGGGTACACGATTTATAGTTGAGGGCTTAGGGTTTAGGGGTTAAAGGTTCCAGGTTTGGAAACTCACGGCTGCGTGTTTCATCGACGTGTGCGACATGCCCTTTCAAACCTACCGGAAAGCTAAACTAGAAGGCAATCCCAAACCCCTCAAGTCTGGAAAACGTGCTCTTTTGCCCTGAACGCCTGAAAGCCTACAAAGAAAAGACCGAATGCTACGCGAGAACTCCAAAGCTGGTCCCCAAAGTCCCAACCCCGAAACGCAAAGCCCACCCGCCGTGCATGGTTGAGGGTTTAGGTATCCCCCTGCCCCCCCCCCCGCCCCCAAGAAAAAAGAAGGAATCACCCATCCCAACATGACAAGAACGAACTCCGAATCCGACAATCGCAAGCCCCAATAAAAACGATACTCCCCAAAATCCCAAGCCCGACACCCCGGACCCGCAACCCCTAGCAACCCAGGCAGGAATGTATTGAGCTTTCTAGATACGTGTGAGGATTTAGGGTTTATCTTAATCGCCAACACCCCAATCTCCCAACCCTCAACCCACACCCTAAGCTCTAAACCCCAAACCCCGTGTCGACCTGCAACACCGGAGGAGTAGACGCGGTTTTGGGAGCGACCCAAAGCGAGCCCTTTCACACATTGACGGATTTTTTTGTCTTTGATGGGATGTAAGGTTTAATAGGGTTGGCTCAAGGTTTAGCTGTTCTTGTGCCACAAGGTCAGACGGGTGAGGGCCGGGAGTTTCAAAGGCCGCCCACGGCCGAATTCTTTTCGACTTGCATTGTGAGGCGACTCGATAAAGTCCCGTTTGAGACATTTGGTTCCAACTCGATTTACATAAGTTTTGGAACGAATTCTGGACGCGACTCTGCTTCGATGTTGGTGCGAATGTGTTTGAAACCATGTGGTGTCGTTTCGAAACTCTATAGACAAATCCTAGCCAAACTGTATCAAAACCATATCAACATCGTATCAGGCTCTTGCTGAATCGCATTAGCACCCACCTGAACACGAAACCCCAAGCCCCTAGACGTAAACCCCGAAAGCCTAAACCCGATATAAATATAGGCCGTAAGCCCTAAGCCCCAAGGCCGTATCGAAGAAACTTACTACTTGAAGTCGAATATCGGCGCCTTGGTGGTTAGTTAGACTAGGGTTTCAGCGGATGTTATACTGCCAGCATCATAAGGAATTCAAGGGAAGCATGCGACGACTTATCGTTAGAACTTTGGCCGTACGGGCTGCGCGCGTTTCATGACGAACGCGCTTTGCCACAACATTCTTCAAATAACGCACTAGGGTTTTCAGTCGAGGTCGTTAAACACCTGCAACCGCCGGGTTGTGCTTGGGAGCATTCTGTACCGATCGGATATACCTCAAAACCTTACTTGCACCCAGCGGGCCCTAAGTACGTAAATGGGGGATACCTACCCAAACCATAAGACAAAGTCCTACAATATAGCTTTGACACTTTGGCATCCGACCTGTGGCTCTCGCCGAGCCACATAAAAGCTGCGTTCTTATTCGGAGGCCTCAAAAGCTGGGATGAAGGTATGTTCGTGGGGACAAAGCGTTCTGGTGCGAAGCTTTGCGCTTGACCCACTTCCGAGTCTTTATTTTAATACATCACGACATTGCTCCGCCGTTCGACTCCTTGCATAGTTCCAGACACACCACAGGCTGACCAGGCAGGCTGGCTTGTCCCGCAGGAAATCTTTCAGTGTTGGATCCCGCGGGAATATTCCGTGGGAGGCAGCTAATAACTCCTCTTTGCCTACGAGGCGGGCAGCATCGACGAAGATACTCTTTATACACCCACCGCCGTCCTTCTGAAGATAGAGTTGATGTTTCCTCCGTGACACCGACAAACCTGGCCGTGATCCGCCAGCATAATGCTCACACCACCATAGAAAATAATCTGTATTACTATCCTGTAATTACCGGCTGACTAGCTCTTGGAACCGCGTTCATACGCAATCCCACCAATGTCGTGTGTATGACATAGTAGACGCTCCGGCACCTTGTCGGCGGAGATATGGTTTTTGTTTATATCCTCTCTCATGGGGCGCCGAAAGCCTTGCACACTTTCTTGTCGAGTAACAACTATCTTTCCGACAATGTTGGTCGCTTGCTTCCGCATCTCCTGTCGAGTTACACTTTACTGGGTTCATATAGCATAGCGCACAACTCCTATTATGTATCCTTGTCTTCTACGTCTGTTAGATATGTGGCGACTTGTCCATTCTCCTGCCCCATCCACAAAGTAGATGTTCATGTCCAGACAGGTATGGTACTCCCCAAGGACTGCCTCCAACTGTGCAGTCTGAGGACTTTGCCCTACACCACCGGAACCGAAGCCCCAGAGTCACGATCCACATTCTCGCCACGCAAGGCGAGCATTGAGCTAAGTGGTCTTCCAGAAGAAGTCTACTCTTTTCTTCACGTCATCCCCGCCGGGATCCAGCAGTCTGTGCGGAAGGTAGACATACACATTGTGTTTTGGAGACTGCCTGCAATCCCACATCAGTGAAAATGAAGGATGCATCGCTTGTGCAGAAACCACCGGCGGGCTGGATGTCGAGAGAACACCGCTCAATGTAGTACTTGATGAGACTATCATTGAGCAAGGAGGTTTGCCTCGGAGGTTTCACAGAGAGAAATAAATACACTACTTAGAAAATAGCATATTATTCAGCGTTTAACGCGAAGGATTCTTCACTGTTTATCGGAGACAAGTGGCTACTTCACATAGAGCTTGCCAATTGTGTTGGCCATTGCCATCGTCCAGTGAATGCTGGCATTGCCACGGTCCTCGCGATTATCATCATCCGCCCGTTTGCCTTCTTTGGACTTCGTAGGCATGCGGCATATGGCCACTTTTTTGCATGCGGCGAGAAGCATGCCGGACCGGTGGGAGTGGCTTTCCAGTAACGCTTGGGACGCCTGCAGAATGCCTGCACTATTCCGTAGGACATTTGATCCAAACAGCACATATAAGCCTTCCAGCTGGATCAAAAACTTCTTGCATCATGCGAGTGTGTCCTCGGTAATCAGGCCCGCAAGCATTCCAGTGGCCATGTTCGGAGTAGAAGAAACACTGTCCATCATGGGCTCGCACATGTCTTCCGGATCCCTCGACGAGTTCGAGGAACAGGACTTCCTCTCGCCGGCGGATATCCAAAAGCCGAAGTTGATGGACAGCCACGGCCCCTGGGACCGCATGGCAAAAAGGTAGTCGACCATGTCAAACTGAGGCCGTATGCTGTCATCATTCTTTCGAGTTCGCCCATCTCCTTCAGGATGCTCCCTTCGGCAGACTGATGGGTGGAGGACTGCTCAGAAACGGATGACATATCGAAATCCGTTCGCATGAACTGACTCAGTGCGTTCTCCAGAGTTTCCCTCTCTGCAAACCCTTGGGCTTTGTGTCGCTTCGAGGCTGGTTCTTCTGCAACGGATGTTACTGGAAATGTATCTTCTTGGTTTTGGACCTCCTCCTCCACCATCTGCGTGGATGATAGCCCGTCTTCCTGACTCCCACCACGTAAATCTCGAGTCTCTGCAGAAAGATGCATCTGGGGTTGTTTGTCATCCCCTCTCCAGGTCATTAACTTCGTGCGCCGATAGATTCCGATAGATGGAGTTCAAGCTCCCCTCCGTCACTGCTGCGAACCTGTCCAGTAGATAGGATGTCTGAGTTAGAGTCGAACATGGGAACATTGTTCAGCTCGAGTCTCTTCCCCTCACGTAATTCCACCAATGCCGCGTGTAGGGTGTAGAATTTATTTTGGCCCT